CAATACATTGGCCACCTGATGCAGAGAACTGACTCATTTGAAAAGAGCCTGATGCTGGGAAAGATTGAGGGCAGGAGGAGAAGGGGGCAACAGAGATGGCTGGATGGCATCACCGACTCAATGGACATGAGTCTGAGCAAACTCTGGGAGATAGTGAAGGACAGGGAAGTTTGGCGTGCTGCAGCCCATGGGGTCACAAAGAGTCAGACATGACTTAGCAACTGAACAATAGGACAATGCAACCTAAAGGAGGAACAACTCCTTATATGGCCATTCAACATCCTAACCTATCTTTACTCATTCTCATACGTCACTGAGCAACTGACACGAGAATGAAAATATTTCACTCAAGAAATGTAATATCAGTAAGTTATTGGTACATTAATTATAACAAACTCTGATGTTATACTCATCTAAACTTGAAGGAATTTTAGAGAATGTGGTACAACGTGACTATCTGAAAGCAAGCAAGCAGTATTTTGTCCTTACCATTTTTTCCTAATACTTTTTAATATTTACGCCATTTTTTACTAGCTTTATTTTTCAACAGATGCTATAGGTATAGCTAAAATAAAAGAAACTGGTACTTCCTGCTCCTGATAGTAATAAAAAGCTTTCATCATAATGCCCTATGAGCTTTTGCTTCCCTGCTTTTTGTCAAGAAATTCATAGACCAAAACTCCAGTTTTTACATTTTTTTAATAGCAGTGGTCAAAATACTGGAAATTAACAGCTATCAAAAAGCAGAATCTGGCAATGTACATTTATGAGACATATTTTACAGTTAAGAAAAACCACGGTGGCCATTCCTCAGAGCTCTTCCCTGACTCAAGCCTGGCTTACAGTTGTTTAGCAAGCCCTTATCCTAGACTCCAAACCACAGTCAGGCAGGTATGTGAGACCCAAACCGTCCTGGCTAACTGGGTGAGGCCCCTTGTCACCTAGAGCACGTTTTCACTTGCCACAGCAGCTTGTTTCCAGTCAGACAGGAGTAGAGCTGATGAGAGAGAAGGCTGAAAAGATCATGGTCTCTTACGTGTTCCCCACTACAGTGCACTGCCAAGAGGCCAGTTTTCAGATGAAAAAATGTTATCGTGGATTTTCAAGCCATTTTCTATGTATCATGTACCATGGCTAGGATCATTTTGGCTTCCTGTATTACCTAAACCCAGTACACTTTAATATGAAATTTTTTTCAAGGTAGGCAACATAAGATCCTTTTAAAAATCGAACCTAGCAAATGAGATAGTGACTAGAAAGAGTGGGGGCTCAAATGCGGCTTCTGGATGCTAGTAATGTTCTAGTTCCTGATTTGGGTGCGCATTACACAATGTGTACAGGTGCGTATTATATTTTCATTATTAATGAAATACTTCAATAAACAAGCTCAAACCAAGATCAAACGTTCACCAATAGAAAACTAGAATAATGGGTATCAAACAGGCAGTTCACAAAAACTCAAAAGCGCAATAAACTCTGAAAAGATGTCCCACCCCCTTGAACTTCAGAACCCTTCCCCTACTGCCCTCAGACACGCCTCTAGCAGCCTCAA